AGTGGGATTGACTATAACATCCTCCAGGCTATAAGGGTGAGCATGTTGAGTACCTTAACCATATGGACATGCCAGGCCTTGATGCAATTTCGATACAGTAACTGACTGTATGCAATAGCTAACCTAATCCAAATACCACACTGAACTAAACTGACTCAATACTCATTCACTATTCATCATAAAATGTGATCAAAAGACTGACTCAATGCTTAACCGATTCTCGTACTAATAAACTATAACTGTCTTTCGATAATCTTCGTATTTACTAGAAGCTTGACGTCGAATTTAGGACATCTTAGGTTTCAAATTATAAATTTTTGAATCTCGATGTCATGTGCCCTCAAGTTAAAATCTTAATTTAAAGCATTGAAAATATTTTCCACAACACTATTTTCAAGCTTGAAACTAAGAATGGGCCTTTCTTTGATTTAGCATGAAAATTAAACTGTGTAGTAATTAATATTGTATAAGGTAAGTTCATATTATCAATCATACACTAGAACTACGTACTGTTATGTAAGACTATAAGCTAAAAGTTACTAAGCCAAGTGTCTATTATAATGTGTGTCATATATATATAAAGATATTTAAACATAGATAACTGAGAGGCTTACCTTTAATAAAATGTTCCACTAGAAACAATTATGCTGTTAGTGGTTGGATGTTGTGGGTCACAACCAAAAAAAGAAAATAAAAGAAGTACTCATGTAGCAGTATATGTACAATAATAATTTTCTTGAACAAAAACTTTAAATTTCAGGAAGTAAAATGGTATCTGGTCGAAAACTACACATAGGAATGATGTAATATGTGTTGTACTCCAAGTGACAAAACAGTTCACAAAGTAAACAAAGTTCAGTTAACAAGAGAAAAATGTAAATAGTTATGGGTCTGAGAGGAGATGACTTTATATTGTGTTAATTACACACAATTTCTTCTTCCTTTTGCAATTTCTAGACGTTTCCATGGAAGGTGTCACTGCAGAATTTCTTAGACTTGTACTGGGTTCTTTAAAAGCTTTGGTAATGTAGAGGCTTAGGGACATTGTAGTCTCTCTCTCTCCTTATTTTTATTATGGGATACTAGGTGACATGGTTGACAAATTCACTTTAGGAGATTTGACCTTATTTGATAAATATGTAATGTTTGGTTCTCTCAGTCTTTTCAAGATTTTCTCCTGGCACAGATTTTTTTCTAACATCTAGAGAAACAATTATGATCATCCCTTGTCCAGTGCACTCATCAACTGGATGAATTATTTATCTACAGATATATAAAGTGAATTTAATTTATTATCAAATCTGTTGTGCAGTCTTTGTTTCTCATTTCATTCAAGTCAAAATCCAGTTGAACTTCATAATAAATTGGCTGCTGAGCCTCTAGTTAGAGGGAGGGGGGTATTGTTTTTATCATTAGGAAATCAGTGCACCTCAAAATGCAACCCAGGGAATTATGTATTAAAATGTGAATATATTCTATGATCATAAAGAATTGATATTAATTTTGGTTAAGGATATACATGTAACAGAAGTTAAGCAAGATTGTGTTTATAAATTCACTGACATTGTTATTTAAACAAGACAGTGATTGTTCTTTATAGTTAAGGTAGTTACTGATTAATCTACATTAACTCTATAGTCTCAAAAAATTAATATAATGTGTAAATATATGTTTCTTCACAAAATTATATATAATATAAAATCTAAAGTAAGAAACATTTATTGGAAATATAAACATATTTTGTTATCATTTTATATCTTCAGACTAGTTCTCACATATCAAAATCTA